CTCCAATTATGCTCCAGACATGCTATAACCTGCAAAGACTCTACTAGGACTCTAAAAAGACTAAAAGGACTCAATAAAAATGACTTATATCATGGTTAAAAACCATAGAAACCATGATATATCATTCAGCCACCAATTTTTTATCAAATCTTTATTCCTCAACATGACAACATCAATATGCGAGCTACGCGCGACGACCCTACGTTGTATCATCACTCTTTTTCATTTTTACTTGGAATAATAATTCACTTACTCAGCAATAATTATATTTGTCAAAACCGAGATCACGAACCAAAACAGTTCGGACCACCCCTGTCATACATCTATAAGCAAAAAAAACATCAAATCAAACTCGAGCTCCACAGCTCGTCTTCAAGGTCAAAACATAACCCGCCCACCCGCACCTCGTAACTAGCAAGCTCTAGCTCACGCATCGCTCGACCTAAGCAAGCTACAGTACACACGTACCTCACTCCTTTGGGGGGGGGGGAGCCACCTATCCTAGATGCCTTTCCAAAAAACACAAGGTACACATCTCTCATTTCGCAGACCAACTAAGTTCGGAGTCCTACTCTCGCAGGTGCGGCCAGGTTTACAACTTGACTCCAACCATAGCCGGAGCTCCGAACCTCGAATCGGCAAGCCCAACGCAGCTCGCAGTTCGTCAGAAACGACTGAGCCCTATGTCTGGAAACTCTGAGTAAAATCGAACCCCCTTCTCCATCCCAAAGCCAAAACTGAGAAATGCCTAGTTCGAAGGAAAGCAAACTCCATTTCGAACACCAAAACTTCATCGTGAAGCCGTTTAATCCATCTTCTAAAACCTAAAGAAAAGTCGAGCTAAAAAACTTAGCCACTTTTCTTAGAATAAACGGATCGCACTCCGCGACCTAATCGTTTGATCTAAGTCTGATAAATCGAGCAACGAACTCGTAGCTAACAACACGAGCATAGAACTCACGACTAGCAAACTAAGCCTCGCGCTCGATAATCCTATTCCGCCTCCCTAAGTTACCAAACAACGTAGCAAAAATCCTACTCGAGCAAACCAAATGAAAAAGGCAAATTAAACAAAGTCTAAGGCACGAAGCCCGATTGCATTAAAACTAAAGCCCTTTCGGTCACGGATAAGTTTAAAAATATGGATGAAAGCCCTCACGGGCACCAGAACAAATGTAAAGGCCTCGCCGGGAAACCAAGTTCGAAAATTAAATTTAAAAAAGAGGAATGGAAAGAGAAAGGAGCCACAGTCAGCGAGCTAACCACCCGCCTTCTCATCTTCACCTCCCTTCTCTGCATCATTGCTACCACCTTCCTCCACGTTTGTACCGAACTGATTAAGACCAACGGGCGCGCCTGAAGCTGGGTCGACCTCCATAGCTACCGAGTCCTCAGAGATCACTAGGAGATTCAGCTTGCCGATCGAGAAGTCTGAGACCTGGGCAGCTTTAAAAGCCGCTCCCAAGTCTTCTTCATCTTTTTCACCCTCTCCAGCTCTTCCTCGACGGTGGTGGTCCCGAGAATAAGCTGCTCGAGCATCTCCTTATTGGCGATGCACTCTCGGAGATCGCACTCGGCTATACCCTCTGCTTTCTTCCTTTCCCACTTCAGCTTGAAGCCTTCGATCACCTCCATGAACCTCCGAGACATCTCCTTCCAGGCCTCACGACTGGCTTGGCGGATAGCACCCTCACGCTCGCGGATCAGTCGGAGGTTTTTCTCCCTCGCGTCCAAGGCTTCATGGAGAGCTCGCACCATCTCAGCTTGAGCCTCTAAGATCTGGTTGGTGGCAACCTCGAACTTCTCGCTCTTGTCAACCAGCTCGTTCTTGAGCTCGGTGATGTGAGCCTGCTGGCCTCTGAACTGCTTAAGGAGATTAGTCTGGCGAGCGACCTGAGCATTTGCGGCCTCAAGGTAGGACTTCAGCTTGCCGAATACCTTCCCCATCTCCTTGATCTCCTCCGGACGAGGGACGTCCCACAGCCTTTCCTCAAGACAAGCTTAGAGCCGGTTCCCAGCCTTCGCAGCCTGCAAGCATCAAGGACCAAAATGTTAAGACAAATAACACTTAACCCAAAACACAAAGAAAAAAGGGACACCCTTTACCTTCCCATGGGCTGACGCCATCTCCACGTAGAGCTCTCTCTCGGTCATCTTCTTGAGAGCAGGAAGTTGGCACCCAGCAGGCTTGAAATGATGCCACATGGCCGCCATGCCCTCGGAATTATCTGTGATCGGGTGATCCTTGGTGTGCTCGAACATCCGTAGAACGGCTGGCCTCCCATCGAGCCACCACTCCCGTTAGACACTGAAGGACGTGACTCAGTAGCCCGACTTCCCCTGTCATCTCTTGGCCTCTTAGAGGCAGGTTGGGACAAGTGCTCGGGCTCCTGGTCGTCGACGGAGCGCGGGGTCTTGCCCGAGCTAACGGAAATCACCCCCACTATTTGCAGAGGGGTCAGGCTGACGGTCTATCATCTGCTCAACCTCCTCATCTTGGCGATGAGGCACGGGAGCAGCGGTCGAGGCGAGCGCAGCCTCGAGGGCCTTCTTGACGCTCTCGGAGCGTACCCTGGAGCTGCTGGGACCAGCCGAGGCTTTTCCGGATCTCTGACGGAAGGTCGGTTTGCGGGACATGGTTGAACTTGAACTTGCTGAACTAGAATCCGGAAGAGAACGGAGAGGAAGAACTCTAGCTGCCAGCAAAACAGATCAATGCGTATCACTTCACTGTGGTCTGGTAAACAATGGTCGTAGCACTAGCTCGACAGAAATATGGGTGCGACAACCGGAGCCGGGGCTGGCGAAGTAAGGACTCGTCGAACTCGTTCTCGCGTGAACGTGCTCCAGATGACTTCTCCTCGCCTGAATAATTCTAACCGATGCTCGATGTCGGGATCCCTCGGTGCTCTGGATAACTGACCTGATAAACAAAAAACAAACAATGGTCAGAAAGCCAGTCAAGCAAAATAAAGCAAATATAGCTAGCAATCGCCTAAGCCTAGCCAAACAACCGCTGCCCGCGAACTCGGTCGGCAGTCGGGCAAAGTCGAAGCTTTCGATGGACGCCTCGTTGATCCAGAATTTGAACCCGGTCTTCTCCCAATCGGAGTCCTTCTCTGGAATCTCCTCGATAAACCGCCGGTTCGACCTCGGAGACGCGTAGAAAGTCGCGGGACGGCGAGCGTTGTATTTAAAAGAGAAAAATGCCCTCAGGTCCGAGAAGCAAAAGATAACATTCTCCTCTCTGGTCCGCACGGTACATCCAATGATGTCCCGAGCAGTCGCAGGTCTGCCAGCACCTCGAGGACGAACCGAGGGATCAGGAAGAACAAGCCACAATCTCAGAAGTATGTCGCATACGCACAACAAAAGCCCGGCTCCACGCTCGCCGGAGTCTCTGCTGACGTCAAGACCGCCAGCTCCACCCCATCGGAGATCTCGCATTCTCAAGAGAAGTCGTCGAGATTCTTCTGGTCGTTCATCTTGGAGGGACCCGGAACTACGGCATTCCTCCCGGAACCTTCTCCCTCAATTTTTACGATCACCGACATCAAAAAAGGAAAGAGGGAGAAGAAGGTAAAAGACGCTAAACCCAAAAAAACAAAAAAAAAACAAAGATTGAAGTTTCTGCAAAAAGCAAACGTAAAACTTAGCAAACAATCTCTGGAAAACCTTTCTTTCTTGAGTTCAAAAAAAGCAACGATTAGAAGTTCCAGAAAACTAAAAGAGAAAGAAGGAAGAGGAAGTTACGTTTAATCGACTAACAGATGTTGTTAAAGAAAGAGTAGAGAAGGTGGACTTTATATCGAGGTAATTATTATCCATCTCGTAGATCGCAAAGAATCTGGCCATGCGCCAATCTCTGTCGTTCGATCCCATAATCTCAACCGTCGAATATTCGACCTCAGAGATTTGACGCGCCACAGAGCTCGATCGATAAGGACCCTTGGATCTCTTTTCTCTTTCCTGATCTGGACCTTCCACGTCGAAAGAGTATCTGCAAAAATCTTCTCGAGGGCTGCAACTTTCCCCGGAAAGCTCGACCGCAGAAACAGAAAAGTAAATGACAATATATACTCTGAATCCCAACCATCCACATAGACGAGATAATAACAAATTTATCTCAACACGCCAAGCTGCAGTTTCGAGGTCGATTCTCGACCACAGGATCAACGGACTGTTCACCTTTCCAGGATCTGAACCGTTGATCTCGATTGATTATCTGGCTATGTGACGTCAGCGTAATCAGATACAAAATGTTTCAAAAGTCACATCTTGCCGCCCATTAAAGCTCGAGCTCGCTCTCGTTAATGGACTGATGAGAAATTGTTGGAGCTGGATTTAGCACCCTAAATCCAGCCCACTCAAGCCCAACATGCATATACTAAGCCAAACTGGCTGAGCTCTGACCATACGGCCCAGGCCCATTCTCTCTCAACGATCCAATCCTGAACAACTAAACGTTCTGTTCGACGAGGTCGAGCCCTAGCTCGACCAAATCCCAAGAAACAAGGAAGGATCCGAGCCAAGTCAGAGCATATTCTCGCCAGTTCAAATGAGTCCGAATTTCATGGAGGAAGCTGCTGCACGTGGCGAGATTGCCGACTGAAGCTGCTGCACATGGCCGAGATACGCACTAGAGGTTGGAGCTCAACAAGGTGAGCTATATAAAGAAGGCAAATGGCTTAGTTGAGGGGGATCTTCTTCGGCTTGATCTTTTTGTACACTTTTTATACACAAAAACTCTGTAACTGCTCTGAGAGCTCTTTTCATTTCATCTCTTTAAGAAAAAATCGTTGTAACCGTTTCATTCAACTGATTAATATCAAGTTCTTATTTCAATTAGTATTAGCTTATATTGTCAATTTGTTTGAGAGAATCTAGCTCATAATTCTCCTAAAATTCTTTTTTTACAAAAAACACATAAATTAAATTTCTGATCGTGAATTTTTGTTTCCCTATTGATGTTAAATTAATTAATTCATAGATAACCAAATTTAGAATAATATTAGTATTTCACTTTGTGATGTTATTTAAATAATGTTATAAAAAAAAATCGTAGTGAAAATCATGTCTGATAATATTCCTTATTCGTATTCATAACGAAATACTAACAAATAATTATAAAAAGAATAGTATCCCATTTTAATATACCGTTTCAGTAAAAAAATGACAAAAAACACACACAAAAAAAATGCCAGCTAAGCAAAAGTCGCTCGAGGTGAACTGCATCAATCTCCGCCACACAGAGATATTTCCCGGCACAAAATCAACGGCGGCGGTCAACATCAACCGGACAAAACGGTCTTCCAGCTCGAGCCCGATGGCTAGGGATTGTGAAATGCCTTAGCCTCCCATTTTGCTCCCTCATGTATCCTTTACACAAGAAAGTCGCCGAGAACTCATCTTCCACCGGACGATTAACGTCGTGAACGAAAACATCGGTTTCTCCGTCTTCACGGTTACGAGCCAAAAGCCCCGCCGTGTAAATAGCGCTCATCCTCCCCGGAGCTTCCTCGTGGTAACCAGTCGGAGCATCCACCATTATCAGATCCCATTTCGTCTCGTAGAAATCCGCCGGAAAATCTTTCAACGCAAGCTCGCATTTCGAAGTTCTTGGATCGGTCACGGATCTGCAGTCCTCCGATCTTCCAAACTCCATCAATTTGTCCGAATCTTTCACTTTGGTGTCGTAAACGACGTGGTAAGATTCTAAATTTGGAAACTTTTTAGTCACAATTGCAATCCAAGCCTTGTCTTCCTCAATAAACACTGAAACAAGAAATTTCAGTTAGATCTGTTGTTGTAATGTAAGAAACAGAGGAAAGTGAAACACTTACAGGTACGACCACCATGGTTGAGAGATGCCCACATTAAGCTATCGTGACCTAAACCAAAGACGAGGAAGTTACAAGGAGACTTCTTGTCCAAGACTCTCTTTGAGACAGAGATTTCGTCGAATGTCTGTTGTGGAGTGACGTTACTGGTGACGTAGTGAACTAATGCGTCTGATAAAGAAATTGGCATCTTTGTGCATTGTTGTGTTGTTGGACATCCTTCAACGAGTTTATGCTGATTTTCTTCTACTTTCTCTTGAGAGAGATTGGTCTTGGAGATGGGTTTTGAGGAGGAAGAAGAAATGTTGGATCTTGCAAAGAAGATTACTAGAAAGATCAAGATTGAGCATGATATGAATACGACCTTCAGATTAACAGAAGATTGAGTTTTGGTCCTCATTTTTCGATCGATGAATACAACAATGAAGGGTTTTGATAATTGTGAGAAGTGTATAAATTTATATAGAGAGGAGTTTATTCAATAATGTAGCAGAGAAGGAAGAGAATGATTGAGGAAGTTGAGGAGGACATGAAAGCTACTAAGTTGCTGTTCTTCCAATACAACAGAAGTTGGTGGTGAATACATATGCTAACTAATTTCTTTTTTCATATTCTAATGTGTATATTTAATTATCTATTTATATATTCATGATAATTGGAAGATGTGAAACGTAATGGGGAGTTTTCTGGTTTTTAAAATTGATGCTTGAAAGAGAAGAATCTTATGTTGATCCAGAAACAAGACATGTGTTGAAAACGAACCAAACATGGTGGTTGCAACTTTCTTATTCCTTGTTTTTTAAATAACCCCATGTTGATCTAACAATTTTGGTTCTTTGTTTCTTGAACTACTAATATTTCGTCTAACGAATTAACATCACCATTTGGTTGTTTTTATTCGCTATTATAATCAATCAAACTTTAATTTTCATAATTTCAACGTCTAGGCCAGGGGTCCAATTCAGCTCGGTTTAACTAAACCGAAAAATTAGGTCAGATTTTGAATATACTAAAAGAAAACTAAAATTGAAACCAATCCAATCCATAAATAAGGACAAACTCCTCTTTGTGGTTTTTTTCTCTCTTCAATATAATATATACAGTAGAAATTATATAAACTAATATTCAATAAATTAATAAATCTGATAAATAAATAATTTTCTCGATTCTAAGTTAGGTCTGTTCAAAACTTAATATAAATCGATAAATTAAAAAGCAATAATTTTTTTTTGAAAACCTATGTAAAATATAGTTCTATTAATATCATAAATTAATAAATGCTATGTTAAATAATTTTATATAAATATATAGTTACAACAATCTCTCAAAATATGATTATATTATTATTTTTATATTAAAATTGAAATGTTTATATTATTTATTTTTAATTTTATAATGAAAATTTTGAAAATATTATAAATTTCTTAAAAACTATTATTTTTAATTAATTATTAATAAATAATTTATTCTATCAAAAACTAATAACTTAATAATTTTATATATTAATAAAATATCAAAGTTTCAATATTATTAATTTATAAAAAATTTACTGTACAAGTGTTGACGACAAAAAAAAAAACTTAAATGATTTGGTTTCTTTTTATATAATAACAACTAAACAAGAAACTTGGTTTTAATTTTGTCTTGGCATGAGATAAATTAGAGTTAAGCCTAATTCATCATCAAATAGTCGTTCGTCCGGCTCCGTTAGTAGAAGTTTGCTGAGACGGACAAAAAGGTGTACCTTTTAGCATAAACATGGTTATCCTTGATCACATCTATCAAAGGTATTGTGATCTTTATTCCATTCATGATTACCAAGAACTTCTCTTTGTGCTTGGCACGAAAATGTGAGATAATGTGAGTTGGGTTGGGTTCATCAGGAAGTAGGATTAATAGGTAAGTTAATGTGGCCTGGTCCGGCTTGAAACCTGTAAAGTCTGAATATATTTAAGTCCAGCCTAGCCGGCTCGAAAAATTATTAAACATCTATCTATATATATAAAGTAAGTTTTTCTCTCTTCTGGTGCTGCCACCTCATCAATCCTTTTATTAATTATTTTTTATTTAAATTCTTTTAAAACACAAAATAACATTAACATTCAATATAAGAAAATAGTAAATATTCAAAGATTATATAAAGTAAGCTTTTTCTCTTCTGATGTTGCCACCTCATCAATCCCTTCATTAATTATTTTTTATTTAATTTTTTTTGAAACATAAAATAATATTAACATTCAATATAAGAAAATAGTAAATATTCAAAAGTAATTATAATACACAAAATATTAATATTCAATATAAAATTACAAAAATAAATAGATAATTATAATATGTTGTCAGAAAATAAAATAAAATAAAACTAAAAAATAATTACATACATTAGTTCTAAATATTTTAATATTCAAGGCTGATTTCTGCAAGTGTATGATGGAATTGGTAATTAAAAAGACGGAAAAATATAAATTAACATTAACATTCAATATAAAAAATAACAAACATAAAAACACAATTATAATGTATTGTCAGAAAATAAAGACCAACCAAATACAAAATAACAAAACAAAAAAATAATAATATACATTAGCTCTAAGTATTTTATGATTGAAAACGAAACTTTACGAGTGTGTGACGAGAATTGGTAACTAGAAAAACAGAAAATAATAAAAAATAATATTAAAATTTAATATAAAAAATAGCAAACATATGAAATAAGTTTTTCTCTCTTTTGGTGCTGCCACATCAACAACCACTTCATTAATTAATTTTATTTAATTTCTTTTAAGATGCAAAATAACTTAATATTCAATATAAAAAGAGCAAAATATTTATAATACACAAAATATTAGCATTCAATATAAGACAATTATAATATGTTGTCAGAAAATAAGAGAAAATAACACAAAAAAATAATTGTATACATTAGCTCTGAATATTTTAAAGAAATTTACATGTGTGAGATGGGAATTGGTAATAAGAAAAACAGAAAACAATAAAAGTTAACATTAATATAAAAAATAACAAACATATAACGACAATTGTAATGTGTTATCAGAAAATAAAAATCAACAAAATACAAAATAACAAAACAAAAAATAAGGTATACAATAGCTCTGAGTATTTCATGATTCAAAATGGGAATTTACAAGTATGTGACGGGAATTGGTAATTAAAAAGAAAAATTAACATTCAATATAAAAAATAGCAAACATAAAAAAACAAACAATGTGTTGTCAGAAAATAAAAAAAATCAACAAAGTACTATAAAAAAAAATAATGATATACATTAGCTATGAGTAAATCAAGATTCAAGGCAGAAATTTACGAGTATGTTACGGGAATTAGTTATTAGAAAGACGAAAAATATTTAAAAAAATTGTATTAACATTCAATATAAAAAGTAGGAAACATAAAAAAGACAATTACAATATGTTGTCATAAAAAAAAAATACAATATAAAAAACTAATAAATAATGATATATATTAGTTCTGTTTATTTCAAAATTCAATGCGGAAATTTACGAGTGAGCATTGACAATTAGAAAGATAGAAAACAATAAAAACTAATATTAACGTTCAATATAAAAATAGCAAACATAAAAAGTTAAACTATAATGTGTTGTTAGAAAATAAAAAATCATCAAATTCCAAAATAAAATAAAAACTAAAAATAATGATATACATTAGCAATGGGTATTTCAAAATTCAATGTGGAAATTTACGAGTGTGTGATAGAAATTAGTAATTAAAAAGACGGAAAACGATTTCCAAAGAAAATCCAATAAAAATGGAATAGATAATTCAGGTAACAAGACAGGTTCGAGAAATTTCATTATCTAAAATCTATTGACAAATTCTCAATAATTTGGATGAAAGTCAACTTCATAATAAATATTTTGGGAAAATACAGAAAAGTCGATAAATTTTAGAACATTATATAATTTTAAGAATTTTAACTCTCAAATGGATATTTCAGATATTTAATATCATATATGTTCTATTTTCTTATTTGTTTGAATTAACCAAATAATTTTGAATAGATAACAAACACAATAAAAAAATAATAAACAAATCATAAAATCTTCAGAGCTATATGATACAATAAATATAATATAAAAATTACATAAAATGATTATCAAATTTACTGTGTTGGGTAGATCACAAACTAGAATTTCAAAAAAATGAAAAATTCGAGTCATGTACAGGTGAGAAATAGAAATTCATCTTAAAATTTTCAAGGATATACGATACAACAAGTATAATACCAAAAAATGTATAAAAATAATTTACATAGCCGCGCGTACCGCGGATCACCAACTAGTACGTTATAAAGTTTAGTTCAACTTGGTCCTAACAGGGTTATATAATTTTTTAAGCTTTTTCAGCTTAAAAATATATAAAAAACAAAAAAGTTATTATAAAAAATAATTAAAAAAATATTTATGGAATTTTATCAAATCTAATCCAAGTTAAAAGCGAAAGTTTGATCTAAATAAAATTAATTTTTAATATAAAATAATAATAAAAATAAAAAATGTTTCAAATCTAAATAGTAGAAACTATATATTCGAATGTAAATCATATTTAGTTAAACATTTATAGAGAGACATACAATAAAAAAATATAATTTCTATATTAATTAAAAAAGAGTTCTAAATTATTATTTTAAACAAAGTAATTTTTCAATAAAAATCTCTAAATAATCTATAGAATATAAATTGCATGACTTACGTGCAAAAATCTACAAGCCCGAATGAGCAAGACCCAAAATGCCCAATTTTTTTGGGCTTTTATACCAAAGCCCAAGTCCGATATTTTTTAGGGCTAGGTTTCGGGTTTTGGCTCAAATTGACATCCCTACTAAGTATAAGCACAATCAAGCAAGAAATTATATATGCAAATACTCATGATTATCTAAACACCATTTTCAAGTATTGAACTTCATTCAAGCATTTCATCAAACACATGAAGTGCAAATGAAAACCTAAGATTAAATTTTTCAACAAAGATGAAACAATCATTAGAAAATTATTAAGTATATATTATAAAGTTTGGCCCAACCCAGTCCTAACAAGGTTATAGAATTTTTTGAGTTTTTGGACTTAAAAATATATAAAATTATATTTAAAAATACATAAAAGGCAAAAAAAGTTATTATAAATAAATTTAAATTAAAAAAATATTTATGTAGTTTTATTACATCTAATCCAAGTTAAAAGCGGAAGTTTGATCTAAATAATTTCAATTAATTTTAATATAAAATAATAATAAATTTTAAAAACAGTTCAAATTTAAATAGTAGAAACTATAGATTCGAATGTAAATCCTATTTAATTAGAAATTTATAGAAAGACATACAATAAGAAAATTATAGTTTCCATATTAATTAAAAAGAATTATAAATTATTATTTTAAACAAAGTAAAATTTTGATAAAAATCTTTAAATAATCTACAAAATATAACTTACGGGCCTTATGTCCGAATGGGCGTGACCCGAAATGCCCGATTCTTTTTGGGCATTTATACCAAAGCACAAGTCAGATATCTTTCAGGGTCGGACTTCAGACCTTGGTCCA